GAAGGCAGTTTTATTGGAACAGTTGTATGGAGACAGGGTGAAGAGAGAACAAGCTAGACCCAGGTGAAGACAGAGTGACCAGAGAATAAGGAGCCAGAAGATTACAACTTATTACCAAAGTTAGTATGAGGCCAAACAGAGCAATTCAGGAGAAGCTGAGAAAAGCCAGATTGAATCAGTCAGCTTGAAGAGGAGTCTGAGCCAGAACAACTTGAGATCAGAAAGAATAACAGTATGCTTATTCAGCAGCAAGGCTCAGAGGCTGAAACATTCTAAGCCTAGATAACATTGTACAGAGGCTAGAAGCTTCCATAACTAGGCCTAGGTTAGTAGACAGAGGCAGTAAGCCTCAGGGACAAAAATCACCCAGGTGAATATAAGTTACATTTGCAGTCAGTCATCTAACTTGAGGGGAAAAAAATGATCATATTTCTTTCCTAGACTTTGACAGGTCTTGTCTTCTCAGAAACACATATCTCTAACTTCATCGTCACAACATTCACCATCACTTCTTATCATACCTACTGTTGTGAGCAACTCTTCTCAAGCCTGAAGCAACTAAGAGCGAAACTGTGGAACATTGGTTGAGCACTTTGAGAACTCCCTGAGAACTGTAACCACTTTCACCCAACCACATGTTGCTGCAGTAGGTGCAGTGATACTACATACCAATGCGGTGGTAAATGGTCCACTATCTGTCCATTCTGGGCTGACATTTTATAATAGTAATAATATATAATTATAAAATAATTATAAGTATAATAAAGCCAATGACATTTTACTACTTAGATATGCTCATTCTCTTTGTTGGTGACCGCAGATGGGACCTACTGAACAATTCTGAGACGCTCTGAACAGGATGATGCACAGTTAGGATCAGCATATGTGGATTGGAGTGGGTGGGGCTTACCTGTGGCAACAAATATCATGAAAATTATACACAGATTTTTTTAAAGATTTATTTATTATATAGGAATACACTGTAGCTGTCTTCAGACACACCAGAAGAGGGCATCAGATCTCATTACAGATGGTTGTGAGCCACCATGTGGTTGCTGGGATTTGAACTCAGGACCTCTGGAAGTGCAGTCAGTGCTCTTAACCTCTGAGCCATCTCTCCAGCCCCACAGAATTTTTTTTAAAGCTTGCTAGATTTCATTAGTGTTTGTCTATTTGTGTGGCCCATAACAATTCCTCTTTGTCCAATGTGACCCAGAGAAGCCATAATTTTGGACATCATTGCTCTAAAGAATGGGCCAGCTCTTAGTGAACTCTCTAAATGGAAGAGATGAGATACAAGAATCAGAGTTAAGGTGCAATCCTAGTCTACTGCAAAAACTGTTTCATCCCTTATAAAAGATAGAGAAAAAAGAAAAGAAAAAGAAACAACG